GTTGACACGAATATTTGACATCAACTTTGAATTTAATCCATGATTGAAAATTCCAATTAAATTTAATCTTCGGTTAAATTCAAAGTTTGTATCAAATGATTAAATATTAGGAAAAAATGTAAGATCAGTTTTGCTCAAAAGTTAACCGTTTAGGTTTTACAGCCTGTCAAATTTGCAAAAAAGTCAATTTTCAACAGTCAATATTTCCAAAACAGTTGAACTTAGGTATAGGGTATATAACATGAAATCTGCTCAGAATTATATGTAGAATCCAGCTTTTTTGAAACACCCTGTATATGCAAAAGTGAGTTTTTCAAAAAATCTAATTTCAACCATAAATTTTTTATTTGGGACACTTTTTTCTAAAATGTCAAATAGAAAAGATAGAGGGGGTGACATTTATAACCAATAATCCTGTACTATTCAACCCCCTTCGAGGCTTGTATGCAAAAATGGGGCACCTAAATATGTCACTATCTGACGGTCTATTATAGCGGTGAATACAAGAGGTTGCTAGGGGTCTATTCAAGTGATGAAATATTTTCGTTTATCTGTGAAAGTTGTAGAATGTAGACCAATAATAATACAAAATATGAGGTCCTACTTTTTCTATCCTATAGATTTTTGCAAATTTATGTAGGAACAATCGCCTCTTTAGGTAGATGATAAGTCACCGAGTTACTGACAGTATATAGTGCAAGTGACCTCTTTCCAAAGTTAGGAATCTGACTATAAAATCGAGATGTTAGTTCAAGGTTGTCACCGCTTTAATTATGCAAATAAGGCAATCGGAATATAAAATCGATATGTTTATGTTAGTTCAAGGTTGTTACCGCTTTTGCATACATTGAGTGCCGACTCATAGATAGGCAATTACTTATACATAATAGAAGTCGGGTAAGTGTTTGGAAGAAGTCCGGAGAGGTCAGGAAAGGGCTGGATAAGGTCGGGAGAAATCTAGACAAGTCTGGATAAAGTCTGGATAAGGCTGGAAAAAGTTTAGCTAAGTCTGGAAAAGTTTGGATAAGTTTGGATAAAGTCTGGAAAAGCCAGAAAATTTCTGGAAACGTCTGGAAAAGGCTCTATTAGGTCTGGAGAAATCTAGACAAGTCTGGATAAAGTCTGGAAAAATCTACCCAAGTCTGGATAAAGTCTGGAAATTTCTGGAAACGTCGGAAAAAGGCTGGATAAGGTCTGGAGAAATTCAGACAAGTCTGGATAAGTTCTGGAAAAGTGTATTTGAAGTCGGGAAAGTGTTTGGGAGAAGTCCGGAGAGGTCAAAGGGCTGGATAAGGTCTGGAGAAATCTAGATAAGTCTGGATAAAGTCTGGATAAAGTCTTGCTAAGTCTGGAAAAGTCTGGATAAGTTTGGATAAAGTCTGGGAAAGAGCCAGAAAATTTCTAGAAACGTCTGGAAAAGGCTCTATTAGGTCTGAAGAAATCTAGACAAGTCTGGATAAAGTCTGGAAAAATCTAGCTAAGCCTAGAAAAATCTGGATACAGTCTGGAAAAGCCTGGAAATTTCTGGAAACGTCTGGAAAAGGCTTAATAAGGTCTAGAGACATTCAGACAAGTTTGGATAAAGTCTAGAAAAGAGCCAGAAAATTTCTGGAAACGTCTGGAAAAGGCTCTATTAGGTCTGGAGAAATCTAGACAAGTCTGGATAAAGTCTGAAAAATCTAGCCAAGTCTAGAAAAGTCTGGATAAAGTCTGGAAAAGCCTGGAAATTTCTGGTATCGTCTGGAAAAGGCTTGATAAGGTCTGGAGAAATTCAGACAAGTCTGGATAAAGTCTGGAAAAGTGTATTTGAAGTCGGGAAAGTGTTTGGGAGAAGTCCGGAGAGGTCAGAAAAGGGCTGGATAAGGTCTGGAGAAATCTAGACAAGTCTGGATAAAGTCTAGCTAAATCTGGAAAAGTCTGGATAAGTTTGGATACAGTCTGGAAAAGCCAGAAAATTTCTGGAAACGTCTGGAAAAGGCTCTATTAGGTCTGGAGAAATCTAGACAAGTCTGGATAAAGTCTGGAAAAATCCAGCCAAGTCTAGAAAAGTCTGGATAAAGTCTGGGAAAGTCTGGAAATGTCTGGAAACCTCTGGAAAAGGCTTGATAAGGTCTGGAGAAATTTTGACAAGTCTGCATAAAGTCTAGCTAAGTCTGGAAAAATCTGGATAAAGTCTGGAAATTTCTGGAAACGTCTGGAAAACGCATGGAAATTTCTGGATTGGGTCGGAAAAATTCTGGAAAATCTGGAAAGGGTTGAATTTTAGCGGATCTCAAAGCTCACAATAATCACAAGCATTAGCGTTGAAGTTTGCTTCGGCATTTTCAATGTTCTCCTCGGTTGCATCTTTGTGAAGGACTGTGAATTTGTTACTTATGTGACAATTCTCTGACAATATGCCTATTAGCTGTGCTATTAGATATTGCTCTGTAGATGTTTGTTTTTCAAAGCAAGGAAGTGGTTTAATATTTTTTCTAGGTCCAATAGAAGAATCTAGGTATGTATAGGGTTTTCCAATAGTAACGCTCGATGTTTGACAATAGCCCATGAAAAACTCGATAGTCACACAGGTGCTATCTTTGGCAGCCGTATTCAATTAGTCTCTGCATTTTATTATGGAGCGCTACACGATTGAGCAACGCGTCGGAATTGTTAAAAATTATTATCATTATCAAAACCAATGTTCTATTCGGAAAACGTTTCGTGCACTCCGTGCAATTTATGATGTCAACGATCGTCCTTCAGAATCCACAATTGGCCGACCTAACGTCACTGGATTTTTTTCTCTGGGCATTCTAAAATCCAAAGTCTATGTTGACAAATCTCGAACGGTTGCCGCCTTAAAGGCCAATATTAAGCACTTATTGCTGAAATTGAGCCATTTTTATGCGATAACGAACACTAAATGATTCTAACGACAATCTAAAATTGTCGGAGAAATGTATTGATAATTCGGATATTGTTGAAAACATCTATGAGAAGTAAAGTCCGTCGATTTTAATCTAATACTCGAAAGGAATGTGAGCTGGTGGCACCCTACATTTGAACGCCAATGGTCACCTAAGGTCACCCCTGGTTTTCGCTTCACCCCCTCGCTCCTCATACGAAAAGTCGACGAACAATACTAAAAGAAGGAAGATTCAGGGACTTGACCAAATCTGCAATACTTTCTGCAAGAAATGTTGATGTCGAAGAAATAAACGAATAAGTTGTCGAACTGTTGGACGTCAAGACCGAAAAACTCTACACCAGTATAGATAGTGTCAAGAACTGTGATAATAGTGATCTAAATGATGCTATTCTTCCAAAATATTTAAATTCGCTTAATCCGCCGAATTCCCGCTCCATGATTTACGATTGAAAACGAATTCTATTGTATGCTTATTAGAAATCTAAGCATCAGTGCAGGCCTTTGCAATGGTACAAGGCCTTTAGTTCTGGAACTTGGGGATAATCTGTTACGCTGTGAGATATTGACTGTAGATAAACAGGGAGAAATAGTGTTCATAAATCGAATAACACTCTACTGCGAAAACGTCTACCCCTTTACGTTCAAACAAAGACAATTTTAAAATAAAATTAGCCTTTGCAATGAGTTACGATTAACAAATCTCAAGGACAAACATTTGATAGGATAGTAATTGATCTCCAGAAAGGATGTATTAGTCACGGACAACTTTATGTGGCGCTTTTCAGAGTTCGTTCGTGGGACTCATTCAAACTTTATTCAGGGAAACAAAGAGGCAATAGTGTTGTCAAAAACCATGTTTTTAAAGAATTGTTTTTTTGATAATTTAATTTTGAAATTTCGCAGTCATAGGTGATTTCAGAAGATCTTTACAACTTATTTACAAGATATTTGAAGATCACAAGACAAAAACCTGAACACGATAAACATAAATGATTGAAAATAACGAAGAACGACATGAAGACTTAGCACTCTTTAAACTTTGGATTCTTACGAGTTCCATAAAATAGAATAAGTTGCACTGGACATATGCACACCGTATATTCAAAAAATAAGATCGATTTAAAGTCATTACGATGTACCGCAAAAGTAATAATTCACCAACTACTTTGATCACATTTAAAATTTATGTCTACCACGTAGGTACAAACAAAAAATGAAGTTGAATAATTGAGCAATTGAATTTAAAATCTTTTAAAAAATTTTTTTTTTCGATTGTTTGCAGTAAAATGTTGATCGAGTAGACTTCAATAACTGGCCTAATAAAAAAAAAGGAACTTCATGAAAATGTAAAAAAAAAATTAAGACTCGATATCTCGTATTATACCACAGCACATAAATAGTTACTAACTCGGTTTATAATAACACCTTGATTATGGTTATGATTATTCTGTTTTAAATAAACCACTTCGAATAATGTATACCTACACCTACGAGTTCCATAAAACAGAATGAGATAAGTAGACATACGCACACCGTACATTCAAGAAATGTGATCGATTTAAAATCATTATGATATACCATACAAAAATAATTAGTCACCAACTCCATCCATCGCATTTGAAATTTCTTCACTAGAATAACATCTATACAACTTATCTCACTGTTACATTTAATGTATAATGTACATTTAAATCAAAAATTATGCTGTTTTTTGTACAACACCTAATAAATATTTTCCATTTTATAATTATTTTGATGGACTTGATTTAAAAAAAAAGCGCGCGAAGCGCGCTCATGACCTAGTACCGTATTAAAAAAAGTGAAGTAATAAGCGCGATGCAAAAGTGAAAATTTTAGATGTGTTGCAATTTGCTTATTAAAGTGAGGCCGGGGTTACCCAATTCCTTTATTCTTAATTTTTGTTCTTAATTCTTAATCTTCAAAAACACCAATGTTAAATAAATTGAACTTTTTAAGAATTAAGAATTAGGGACAAATATTAAGAATTAAGAAATTGGGTAACTCCCGCCTAAATTGTAACCCATGTACTTGGTATGTTTTTTCGTAAGGTTCAAATAAAACCAAGCACTTAATTTGCCATCACCATGTATTTATAGTATAAATTAAAAAACATTATATCAAACGAATATACAAACTTTACAAAAAAAAAAAAGATGATTTCTATATCTAGGGGATAAATAAAATACGACTAACGGTAAGTTTTACTACAGAGTAATCACATCATAAGTAAAATATATGTTATTATAACATACAAAAATTATATGATAACGCACCATATTAGAAAAAAATACAATAGGGTATGTAATTAGGTCTAGGTATTATCAATATTTGAGTATTTTAACTTACAGTTTTCAAAACTAGAATTCTTATACCTAATATTGCCTTTCTGAAGATTTGCTTAATTTTAGTTTTAAACTATCTACAATTATTTCTTTAAGAAAAAACAAGTAAAGACGTACTTATTATTCAAAAATACATAAATTATTATTGTGTGTACCTACCTATATTTAAGACAAATTATTTATCTTGAATTTTCATAGAACAGAAAATAATTGAAGGAGAAAGGGTACTAGAGTGGAACTAATATGTATTGATAAATTCGGGTACAATCCATGAAACTTTGCATTTTTTAGTCCTAAAACTAAAAAATCAAGTCAGAAGGTTACAGAATCTCTCTCGAAATTAACGTTATTTTCACCCTTAGAACAGAGTAAGAGTGATTTGGAAATGGTATGGTAAATTGTGATTATAACATTGGTGAGTCTTAAGAGTGCACTGATTGAACCAAAATATGCCTAAACTTTCGTTTGGGTCAGGCAACTATAGGAAAACTATAAACCATATTTCTCATATCAGTTTCCAGTGAATATTTTAATCCCACTCATAAAAACGTATGTGGCAATGAATTTGATTTACTAGAATTGATGCTAGAGTTTGCCTCAATTCCAACACAGAGGTTCCTTTGTGGATCCAGTTGCCAAAAGAGTCAAAGAAAAACACTTGCCTACTCATGCAGCAGATTTTTTTTAAAAGTTTGTATTTCAGAGTAAATAATTTGTGAAAATAATCATTTGTCAAGTTTGCGGATCTTTGCAATTATAAAAATGAAGGGTATGAGTGGAAGAGAACAATGTTTTATCTTTCAATTTGTCCTTGCTGGAAGTTGATAACATTTATATAGTTTTCCTATAATAAAATATGAGCGGAATGCCAATTTTGGGAATATTTCAAACAAAGAATCTAAAATATTTTTCTTGATTGTATGATGAATACTCAGGTAGATCCATATTTTTTCTACTCATGAAACTTTCACTAAAAGAAATAATACAAAATATATGTAGGTAAAATTTTACCCAAATAAGAAAAACAAAGATCATGGTAAGTATATGGTAAATATCTAAAAAAGCGTTTGCCACAAAATAATTTACAACAGCATTTTCAAGCAGTAGGTACCTAATTTATTCTAACTTCATCAATCCCATTCTCCAATGTACATTGTTCTTGGTTGTGTTGGTATATAGTTTCTAGTAGGTATCGGTAGTCGGCCGTAGATTTGGTTATAAGGAGATTCTACTGCGTCTGAATCTAGAGCAGAGATTAAAAATTTGATTAACGATTAATAAAGGGTTGAAATTGTATTCGCAGGTCTTACCTATGCCACTTTCATAGCTTCTTGCGTGCCACATAGGGTGTGGGTGAATTTGGTGATGACTCATATTATTCATATGCTGATTCATTATTATTTGTTGATGCTGCTGTTGTTGGGTGATTGAGTATCTCTTGGCGGGTAGTGACTCCTTGGGAGAGGTTTTTGATTTGGCTACGAAGTTTGGCACTCTTGCACGAAGACCGCAGTAGTAAGGATCATCTATCCAGAAAATAAATTGCAGTCATTTCGGGTATTATTAGTTTTTTTTTTTTTTTTGGACTTACCATATTTTTTATTGTCTTTCGATTTTTCCTTATTATTTCTAGAAGATGATAGGGCTTTTATGACCTTTTGTTCTTCTTGGTCATCATAGTCGGGCTAAAAAAAAACAATAATTAGTTAAAGACGAAATACGAGAATAAAACAAAAAACTCATTAATATCCCAGAGGCAAAATATGCATTCACAAAACCGAATGACTTAAAAACAAAAAAAACAAAAGAGAGGGTAGTCTAGGAATATTTGAGTTCAAGCATGGGATCCTAGGGTTGTCACTCTAACCGCCGCCAGCTTGAAATATGGCTGAATTACTACCATATCTCATCTTCCTATTGTAGAAGGTAAAAGGACCCCTTTTTAAGCCCCGGTTTATTCATCTTCCGATAAACTTGCTGGTAAAGAAAAAAGATGAAAATCATAGTACATAGGTAGTTATAGTGAAAACTGTTCAATTGCGAAAAAGTTGAATTAAATTTGTGGATCATTAATTTTTTACAAATTTTGTATAAAAAATTGCTTTCTACAAATGTTTTTTGACCTATTGATGAGCGGCAAATTGCGTCTCCTCTCAAGGCCTAGTAGTTGAAATTGAAGTGCGTTTTTCATATTGCTGATTTTTTTAATCCACACTGAGGGTGGCCGTTCAGGCAATAAATAATCGCAAAAAACTGTAGGTCCCTTATCGTTATCTAGATCAAGGTCAGCTTTTTTATAGTATGTATTGTATTTTTATTCTGATTTGAAACACTGCATTATACGAGGATATTTCAACATCACGTCGCTCTCTTTTATTAAATTCATAGAAAACCCATTGCAAGTTTTGTATACTGTTCCCTGTACAAAATAAAAGCAGCCAGGAAGTATCGTTACCGTAGCCCAAAATATTAATTTAGGTCGACACGCGCCTAGGTTGAGCTATTGGGATGGGCTCCCTACCTCTTCCCAGGAACGAATGCAGTTGCACCTGCTGACTAGACTACGCGATTTCTACAACCAGTGTCATTCCAATTTATATTATATTTGCTGTTTTATTCCACGTATACCTAGGTATTGCCTATTACCATTTAGGGCCGCTTCATTCACCTTCTGATAAACTGTCAGGTATGCAATGTGACAGATAAAAACGCAATCTGTAATCCCATTGGTCGGTCAGTTATCCGCCGACCAATAAAATTATAGAACGGTGAATGGGCCCCTTGCATCAAATTTTTTTATTGCTGATTTCGATAGTCCATGAAAAATAAGTCAACACGTGTTTTTTCTTTTTCTTGTTAGACAAAAATTGACGGGGATACAACGCTTTGAAATGTGCTTATTTTTCATATCCTATCACGTCACACCATGCTCAGTATATCTATATATACAAAACTTAATATTTGTATAACTTCCGGAATAATCATATTTGGGCGAAATAAAAAAAAAGTAACGATTTTTTTTTCGATTTCCTACAGTTTGCAATAAACAATAATCAATTTAATTTTCCATGCAAGTACCCTATTATTTATCTTGCCAGCTAGTTATAGTATTTTTAATCCGACTTGAAACACTAAAAAAACATCTAGTCGGCATACATCAAACACATAAAGGACATGGGCGTCACATAGTTTTTATTTCTTGATATTCAATATCAAACAACACATCTAAATAATACGTGGAATTAAACAGCAAATAATGAATAAATTGGTATGACACTGGTTACTTTTAAAAATCGCGTAGTCTAGTCAGTAGGTTTATCTACATCGTTCCCGGGAAGACGTAAGTAGCCCACCCCAATAAGTGAACCAATAGACGCGTGCCGACCTAAATTATTATTTTGGGCTACTGTGGCGATATTTCGACGCTGCTTATATTTTGTACAATCTAAGTTTTGTACAGGGAAACTTACAATAGATTTTCTATGAAATTAATAGAAGAGAGCGACGTGATGTTGAAATATTCTCGAATAATGCAGTGTTTCAAGTCAGAATAAAAATACTTCACCAGCAAGTGTATCTGAAGATGGATAAACCGGGCCTTAAAGAAATACAAATTATGTGACGCCCATGTCCTCTATTTGTTCGATGTATGTCGACTAGATGTTTTTTGAGTGCTTCAATTTGGATTAAAAATACTATATTTTTTTTTTTTTTTTTTACGGATATGCGCACTCGCAAGGAAATGTCCTATCACGCTCGAGAAGCGGCGAGTACGCGGAAATGTCGGTGTATGTTGGTCTTGAAACGGTTCAGGTTGTAACCTGCAGGAAAAACCGTCACAGGGAGTTTATTCCACAGCGATGCTGTTCTCCAGAGATATGAATTCTGATATAATGAGGTTCTTGGTGCCTCTAGTTTGACAGTAAATTCATGGTTACCGTCTGTTTAACGGGTTCGCCTGGTAGGCGCTACTCTCGGTGGAATCATACGTGCCAACTCTTCAGAGCATTTTCCGTGATAGTACCTGTAGAAGAGAGATAAATCGCCCACAGATCTGCGATGTTCGAGACCATCCAAGTTACGAGTAAGTGCGGGGTCATTGATCAGCTTGATAGCTCGTTTTTGCACGGTATTCAAAAGCATTAAGGTATGTTTGGGTGCTGCACTCCATATATGTGAGCAGTACTCCATAGTTGGTCGAATCTGGGCTTTGTAGAGTGTCAGCAATTGGCTTGGTGTGTACAGATGTCTTGTACGAAATAGCACCCCAGCTTTTGGGACGCCCTTTTAGCAATATCTGCCACGTGACTGTGCCAAGACATGTTGGTCTCTGCAGTAACCCCCAAGATGTTCAACTGACTCTGTAATGTGACAGCACTTCCAGATAGCATGGTGTTTGGCTCACCGGTGCTGGTCTTTTTTGAAAACAGAGCTGCTTGGGTTTTCTGCGCGTTGAACTGTACAAGGTTTTTGTTACCCCAGTCCTCTATTATCTCCAGGTCGTTATTTATCTGCGATATTTGAGTTAGTCTAAGATGATGGAATTCACGTGCGGAAAGACCTGTGGGTGGCATGAGTGAGGAGACTACATTGCCATCGTCTGCAAAGCAATAAAGTGGATTTACTGTTTTATCTATGAGGTCATTTATGTAAATCAGAAAAAGAGTTGGCGAAAGGATTGCTCCCTGTGGCACACCAGCATTTATTTGGTAAAAGTTGGAGTTCTGGCCATCCAGTGCAACATAAATGGATCTGTCCTTTAGGTAACTTTCAAACCAAGTGCAAAGTTTCGGCGATAATCCCATTGCTTTGAGCTTGTTGAGCAGATTTTCATGCCAAACTTTGTCGAATGCTTTAGATATATCTAAGGCAATTGTTCTTGTTTCACCCCGCAACTCAATCGCATTTTGCCATAAGTGAGTGACGTATGTAAGTAAATCGCCAGTTGACCTATATTTTCGAAATCCGTATTGCTTATCGTTGATAATTTTGTACTTTTCCAAGTACTTGGTTAGGTGATTGTTCACAACTCTTTCCATTACTTTTGATATCACCGGAAGTAGAGCAATTGGTCTATAGTTTAACGGATCTGTCTTTTTTCCTTTCTTTGGAATGGGTTGTACTGCGGCAGACTTCCATGATGATGGATATACTCCTTGCCTGTAAGACAAATTGAATAATTTTGCGAAAGTTGGGGTTAGTTTGGGTTAGTTGGGTTCGTTAGCGCAATTTTTGAGTACTATTGCGGGAATGCCATCCGGACCCATTGCTTTGTTTGTATCTAGCTTTTTAAGGGATTTTCGTATTTCTCTGTGACAAAAGGGTACCTCTGGCATACTATGGGAAACCCTTTCAACGAACGGTGGAGTTTTTCCGTTTGGCACTGTTAGGTTGGAGTTGGAGGAAAACATTTGGGCCAGCATATTGGCTTTTTCCTCTGATGTTGTGGCTAAGTGATTATTTTTATCTGTAAGTGGTGGTATGGATGACTTGGTGAAGTTAGATCCAACAGCTTTTGCAAGAGACCAAAAGGACCTAGAACTACTTGGACAATTCAGCAACCTGTTTTTTATTCTTTGATTGTATGTTTCTTTAGCGGAGTCAATAGTAATTTTGCAACTATTTCTGGCTTCTATAAATTCTGTGTGGTTTTGAGCGGTTTGTTGTCGTTTCCAAAGGTTATATGCTCTGTGTTTTTTCTGTACAGCCGTTTGACACTGGTTGTTGAACCAAGGTTTTGCATTAGCTCTACGTTTAGTTGTATGTGGGATATATGCGTCCATTCCAGATAAGATTACTTGTGTTATTTCATTACAGCAAATAGTGGGATCAGCTGTTTTAAAGCAAACCTCTTGCCATGGAAAATCCAGGTAAAACTGTTTTAGGTCATTCCATTTTGCCGATTTATAGTGCCACATTTTACGAGGAAGTGGTTGTTGGCTTGGTGGGATGAGCATTTCGCACTTTGTTATTATAAGTTTATGATCGGACGAACCAAGTGGAGCATCTACTTGAATTGTGTACGAGTCAGGATTTGTGGTTAGGAACAAGTCTAAAAGCGCTGCAAATTCGCCCCTTTCTGAGATACGGGTAGGTTCATCGACAAGCTGCGTTAGACCACAACTTATGGCAAAAGCTTCTGCTTCTTTGCCTTCGTTATCTGTTAATCTGTTTTGTGGTGGTGTTTCAGCCAGGGTATATTGTGGACGTTGAAATCGCCTAAAAAGACAATTTCCGCCTGTGGATAGTTTGACTGTATACTATCACAGCTTTCGGATAATGTCGCGAAAAAGTTTTGGTACTCGGTGTTAGATGGCGGTCGGTAGAGGCAGCAGATAAACTTGGTCGATGACTTTGAGGTGAATTTTACCCATATGATATCAAGGTTCGCTGGTTCTAGCTTCTCCTCTCGATGACATGAAAGGTCATTTTTAATGTACACACAGATCCCAAAATTATGTCGAAATCGGTGGTGTAGGTCATAGCCGGGATAAAGATAGTTCACAATAGGTGTTGCAGAACTGATTTTAGTTTCAGTGAGAACAAGGATGTCAGGTCTTTGTTCTTCAAGATGTTGGTGAACTGAATTCATATTTGTACTTATTCCTCTTATATTGCTAAAATCAATTCTGAGTTGAGTTTTTGATCTTCTCTTTATATCTTTGCATGAAGGACCCCCAGGATC